ATTCTGATTTGGCAGAGTGCAGCCTGCAGGGGCCAGCGACAGATCATCATTTGATGAAGCAGTGTTGTCTCATTTAGAATAATTGCCATAGTACATGACATAAAACATGAAAGCATCGCCTCGCATTTTACTCGGTAGCAGTATCAATAAGGCCCACACCATTTGTCCCAAAGGCCCCCAAAACAGTTGTGTATATATATACACGATTCAGTTCTCTCAGAGTCCTGTTTTCGATCAAGCGATGAAATATCGTGTTTTCATTTGCATAAGTAAACTGTCAACGGGATGTGTATTACGAGATTTACTGAGTCATACCATTCAACTCAATCCTCATTAAATCGTTATGGCAAACGTGTCACCTTTTATACTCCATATTCCAAAACGGAGAGATGAGTGAGTTTTACATGGCTTCAAAAAAGTATTTTAGTTGTATCATGACAATCTTTGGATGAACCAATCCTAGGTCTTTGGTATTTATCAAATAACAGAACATAATGTCAAAATAAAAAGCTATTTATTCTAAAATATTTCACAAACATCGGACATGTACAAATGATTCTATTTCTGTGGTGTGTGAAGTCTCTAGGCTAACAATTCTAACAAGTGTATACAAGCAAAAACAAATATTTGTAAAACTGCAATGCATGGCACTGAATAGTACTGGCGGTAACACCAAACATTCTCAACAAAATCAAATCCATATTCCAAGTCACAACTGAATGAAATTACTGCATAAATCTTCTTAAACTCGTTGCGAAATCCTGAAAAAAAATGCAAAATCTTTCGACTTTCCTACAATGAACAAGTATCCAACATTATTTCTTAAGTAAGACCTATTTTTGAATTCAGTACCTATGACCTCAAAACAGTTCAAGCAATTTGATGCAGTTTTTATGCACAAGGAAAGCCAGTATTGAAATGAACACAACCAGCCCCAAATCTACAAGCACCCTCTTACATACATGTTCCGTTTAGCCCAAATATTATCCAGTCTCTGCAAAAAAGGCCTCCCGACAATACTTTTGAATCGTGAGAAACAGCACATGCAAATGGACGTAGTTCTGAAAAGGGAAGAACTTGGGTCAAAGAGAAATGTCAATGTTACAAACAATAGATGAGATCCAACAAATCGCGTGCCTGGCATCACACCGTCATAATAGGTCTTCAGCAACCCATGCTTGCTGTATAACATGACCATGCTCGTCATAAGAGGCAACTAATGGGATCAGGTGGTCAGGCTCGCTGACTTGGCTCGTGGATGTCATGGTATCCCGATTGCGTGGATCGATGCTCATGATGTTAATCACTGGATTGTCTGGTCCACACTCGACTTCTAACAGGCATCCTTCACAAAGCTGGAATATTGCTGAGTGCAACGTTGAACAACAACCAACAACAACTTGGACCCTGGCAATACTCCCTTTCAGTGGTAGCCTACTTGTTGGACCATACCCTTTATGGTTTTGAATATGGTCTTTCTACATCCTGACCCTGAAATGTCCCTCCTCCATCTCTGCTAGAAATAAATCCCCCCAGGAACAAGAACCTGATGATTTCCCATGTATTTTGTCAATTGCCTTTCAAAGAAATGGTCAATTTCCATTAGAAAAAAACAATGGGGATAAAGTTCCTTATGATTAAGCCCAAAAATCATCTGACATAAAGTGTCAAATTTGCTGTTAGATTTGGTATATGGGTGTGCCACAACCATTGTATGCGTTGGATGCTATCCAACGATGTACCCCTTGATACAGTGTATGGTTTAAGTACTTCTGACTTCACACACCAGAGAGACGATATAACAAGTATACTTGGGTAACAACATACATGTACACAGTTGCTGTAAATCCTTGACAAGATGCTTTCCCCAACTCGGCCTCAGTTCCACATGGAGAATCTTGTCAGCTACTCCTGGGTGTGGTGTTCGTGTCAAATCAGGCAATGATGAACGAATGCTAATGGCAAGTGCTAAGTGTTTCATAACACAATCAAAACAAAATCTTAATGCCACAATGTTTGCTTCCCAAAGAAACACGCACCCTCAGTTTTTTTTCAAGGATTTACAGTATCAAGATTATTTCACATAGATTATTAGGAAATGTTTTGAAAATAATCTTTAACATTTTCCAAAAATTAATTTCAATAATTTGGGTCAAAAGGCCATATTGTATTGGTTCAAGACTTGAAATATAATTTCCCTTGGTGTCAAAATACACAGGAAGCAATAAACATGTAAAAGCAGTTTATCTTTTGACTTAGCATTAAACAGAATAATCTGGCTTATATAGTCAAAATTATCAGAAAGCAAAACTATTTATTGTGGGCTCATTGTGAGTTCCTTTTAAGATTTGCAATATTACTTCCAAAGTTCCTAAAAAATGGACTCATAATTGTATGTTAAATACATAAATATACACAAAATCATCACTGAATGAATATTCTTCAATATAACACTGACGTTTCCTACATCGACATCAGTAGATAATATCAGAGGTTCATTACCATGATGACGCTGTTGAGAATAGTTTCCTGCTGTGTGGAACAATCTGGCATTGTGCGACTGTACAAAATGTGTTATGGTGGATATTTTTAGGTTTCTATAATGGGAAAATTACAACATAGGTAAAATAGCAGAAATAACAAAAATCTGCAACTATACACAAATTCATATGAACATGATACAAACATCATTGTTTCTTTCATGACTGCAACACGCATTTGTAAAAGACATAACAATAAGAAATTGCGTATATGGATAAAATATTCACACAAACTTACGCTTTTCCTATTCACTTTTCTCAAAAGATAAACGTATTCATGGTTTCCTTGCATAGAATCTAAGAAGGAAAGAAAAATGTAACACGAAAAAACAACACAGAAAATCTAGACCTAATCTTCTAATCTTCCGTCTAAAGAAAATCATTATTGCACCAAATATGCCTTACTTCGTCATGAGAAAAACTTCAAGTAAAATGTGAAACCAACGTTTACACTGACTAATGGTCAAATGTATTGAGCACAACCATATTATTTTCAAATATCCACCCACGACTCATTTCACTGTTACTTTGACCAAATCCTGACGAGTATTTACCTCAATGAAGCCCATGGAAACAATATATTTTCTAAAAATCTGAAAGAAAGGATTTCATTTTCTTCCAACAAGGTCCTTAGACTACTGGTTCTTTCAAAAATGGCCATGGAAAATTGCACTTGTTCCTTCCAAACGAAAAACCAAACAAACTATATTACTAAAATAATGAAATATAAATTTGGAACCTACACGAAATTGGATCAAAAGTGATGAAAAACATTTGCGTGCCATTTAGGACTAGACGAGTTGAGTTAACACATGGAGATCTAATGCTGTGCTGCCTATAGACATTTCACCAAGAATAACTCATGGGTACAGCTGGCGAACAGACACACAAGTGAGTGACTGGGGTTACATTCTACAGTGATCAGTACAAGTAAATCTGGGTACCGTATTCGACGTAATAAGCGCCCAGGACGCTCTCAAAATTGGAAATAGGGGGCTCTTATTAGAATATTATTTTGGTGAAAACAAAAGAGTTGAAACATATATTTCGTGGTTTATGCTGACAGCCTGAAATGTTTATATATACAACAGATATATTTTTCCAGAATTTAATTGCCCATAATTAAGGGTGCATATAACATACGTATTATACACGAATAAATAACTCCTGTTTACATTGATCAATTGGAAGAGGTGCTAATTGAGATTGTCCACTTGCCAATATATTAGCAAATATCGCCGTGGGCGCTTATTAGAGCGGGGTGCTTATTACATCGAATATGGTATGTCAGTTCCATGTGGGAGGAAAGCCCCAAAGTCATACATATTGTAAACGTTTACCCCTTTGGTGAAACCCATAGCATGATGTTGATATCCACAGCTTCAGAACCCGAATCCTGGTGCAGCTTGGGGACACAACAATGCACAAGAATTGCAGCTCTTAAATGACAGGCAAAAATATAGGTAATGACTAAATCATTACTGTCGATGTCTTGCAGAAAGGTTCGGGACTTCCTAACAGCAATGTCTATTCCTGTTAATATAGTAATGTGGCCTACCCAAAGTAATTTTAGAACAGTTTATATATCAGTTTAATCCGTGATTTAAACTGATACTCATCAAAAATTGCAAATGCTTTTAGAAGAATATCAACATTTCAAAAGTTTCAAAATTCAAGTATTTGCTAGATCAGGAAATGACACACGATTTGCATAAATAACTGCCACCCTAAAAACACCCACTCAAGCAAAGGGAGAGAACTCTGATGAGAGTTATCTCCCTTAACTATGTCGTCATCCCTCTGTACTCTGGTTATTCATAGTGAATGAGAAAAAGATCATGAGACAATTGTTTTCTTATGAGCATGGAGTGAGTTTGGAGAAAGTTTCTCCTAGGACTGACCAAATGATTTCAACAGGACACTATCAAACGACTGAGCACATTGTAAAACACAACCGTTTGGCTCTTGTCATATGAATACTGAACCAAAAAAGTTCGGATCATTAATATTCTGGGGGTATTTTGAAGAAATTGGGCTCTCAAGTTTTCACTACAAAAAATATCCCCAAAAAATATTCACTGTCCCCTCTTTTAAGTTCAGTGTATTGGGGACCCCTCATTAAATATTGTAGACCCATCTTATTTTTTATTAATGCATGTCCATCAAACAAGTTTTATCTTTTTTATAAAACCTGAGACAAATTTCTTTTCTCCAATATTTCAAAAATATATAAGAACAGGGCCCTTCGTAATATCGAATGGTTGGTCCCCTTTAAAAAATCAACTGGAAACATTTTGAGCGAAAAATAATTATTCCATGTTTTTAAAAAAAAGATGTTGATCAAAAAACCCAAACAAAACTTTCAAAAGTGTGATATCTATCATAGGAACAGGTCCTGTTTTATGAGAAGGGAGGTAATTCAGTATCTAAACGGAGTTACCTGCCCCAAATCACGAAACAGAACTTTTTTCTTCATCAAAATGACAGCAATTTTGACACAAGTAACAAAATCGCTGAATAAAATAAGCAATAAACATACTCCTTGATGACGTAACTAGTAGAGTAACATATGACTATATCAAGACAATTTTATTTGAACATTTTTTTAATGGGAAGGAGAGTCTGTATACTTCAGTCTTTCATTCCGACTAAAATGCACTAATGCTCATATGATTCCTCACCGACCAGGAACAACAACTGATGACTTTCCCCCGTAGAACAAGTGGAAGATCAGAAGCTTGTCGTTCCTGATCAACACTCAAATCAAATTCCATGCACTCAATAAAAGCTAGTTTTCTAAAGAAAGGCAGCAGTTTCAGAAGACAAATAATCCATATCATCATCAACAAACAAAAGAGCTAAGACGGTATAAAACGAAAGAAGCTATAAAGTGTTGAAATGCTAAAAATATTTACAATTCTGGCAAAATTAACTAGGCACAAAAAAAATTGTACAGGACTCAATGCAAAATGTGGTGTACGCTTAAAATTTATACACATGAACAAATGATGCTATGAGAAATATTTCATTTGCTGAGAATAAATAATTTCATCACATCATGAAAACGATAAAAAGTGGTTTAAAACCAAACTGATACAAAATGCACAGCCCTCTAGCTGACAAAGCACTAAAGTTACTTGTTCACACGAAACAGAGCTGTGAGGCATTACACACCAAAATCCATAAGGATGGAGTACAAACAGTTGCGCTGCCCATAAAGATTAAAAAGGTAAGATATCAATTCTTAACACATCAATCTCTAAGCATAAATAGATATCGCTTCCTTGATGATAACAGGTAAATCATACTTGATATCGAAAAAAAAAATTAATTTTAAATACAGAAATAGGTATTTCAATGTCAAAATGGATTAAAAATATATGAAGATTTACCGTTCGCGTTGTGTATTCCATGGTAATCATGTATATTCAAGACTTTAAAAAAATCTTTTAAGGTAAAAATGGTCTTCATATTGATACTCCGAACCTAATCTTTAACATCATCTGATTGTGAAAGGGGCAAAGAGAAACAGGTTTTTTTCGCATTCCATGTCAAAAGTTATTGACTAGACTATGGTCACAGAGTACATAAGGCACAAACTATCTTTTTTTTTCAACAAGCAGTTTCTCATATCCGACCATAAGTGACCGACAAAAGATTTCATTTGTCACAAGATTCTTTTCAACCAAAATGTTTTTGAATAGAATTATTTTTGAAAATCCATAACATAGTCGGATCCTGATCTTCACATCATCACAAGACTTCCAATGCTGACTTCCAATAACATGTACAACCTCAGGTTATGAGTTCAATTCTCAACTCTTTAGAACAGTTGACAGTGTCAACAACACAGCATTAATGTGGCTTAAGTCAGTCCCAGACGGATTCTGCGATTTGCAGAAAATGTAACTTACTGCAGAATTGTGAAACTTGCCTCTTGTTATCAATCAATACACCAATTTTCATTGTTTTCAAGCTTCTAATTTTCATTATTTTCAAGCTTCTCAATAATTTTGCACTCAAACGATGCTCAAAGATTCATGTGATTCAAACATACAAAATATGAATCCTAGAATAAAACAATTTGAATTATATCATTCTCACTTTAAAATGTTCTTGTGGTATAACGGCTATATAAACTATATTTACATCGAACCAACAATTATTATCAGACACTATGCATATGTATTTGCATAATTTTAGGTCTTGAAATGTCTATATGCAAGAGATTAAACATTTTACGGTAATAAACAAGTTTGTATTAAGTTTTAGGGGAAACAGTTATGCATTTACAGCAGAATTTAGTAATGTGAACCTACAGAATTTTGATAAGCTTTCCGCAGAATTTTGTAATTTGAACCTGCAGAATTTTGATAAGTCTTCCGCATAATTTTGTAATTTGAACCTGCAGAATTTTGATAAGCTTTCCGCAGAATTTTGTAATTTGAACCTGCAGAATTTTGATAACCTTTCCGCAGAATTTTGTAATTTGAACCTGCAGAATTTTGTAATTTGAACCTGCAGAATTCGTCTGGGTCTGCTACGTCAGCAAAGAGACGAAACAGGTGCCATATACCCTTTCATGTATAACTCTTAAATCTAACAAATATTCTCATATTTTTCATAGAAATCCAATGCTTGTTCAAGGCCTGAATAAGATACAGTTTAGCCCTGACAAGACATAGTCAATACGTTTAACAGTGACTCTCTAAAATAACCATTTTCATTCTCAGAAATGAATGAACATCTTTCAGAAAAATAAAAGTTTATGACAATAACAGAAATGTTCACCCTGTGTACACACAAACAACTGTAGCTTTTGCAGCAAATTCGGAATATTTCTCAGCCTTTTGTTAAAGAAATGAATTTGAAAATTGACTCGGTGAAATTGGACGGCACAGAGAAATTGATCTATACTTCTGGATCTAGGTAAGTGTGTACAGTGGGTTTCAAGTGGTTTTGTACAAGAAATATAATATATATTAATATCTCACAAACAACTACAGTAAAATCACTGATGAGAAACCTTAACAAGAAACATTTACAAACAAATACAGTGGGTTTGTTTTTGTCCTTTTCTTGAAAGTCAAGTGTGACAACAGAATGCATGGCATGGGCTACCTCAGAACGGGATGACATTCTTCACGAGAGTTATTCTCCCCTGAACACAATAATTATACTTATCGAAGCTTTTAAAATTCAGATTATTTTGTCTTCTACGGACACTCATGTCACAGGTCAGAGAATTATTATAACTTTTTCACCTTAAAGAATCACTACAAATATTCCGATCTCTAGGCTCATAGTTTTCTATATTCCTAGAAATGTGATGAATCTATTAAATTGACACTTATTAATTTGAACTTGGAGCAAAAAGTATACAAATCTAAACACTGTGGTTAGGAAGTTTTGACATCCTCACAAAAGAACGGGTCCAACGTTCTTGCCCTATGACTACGCTCCTACATGAGATGGAAGCTGAGATTGTTTTGTGAAAAAAGGGACCAATTATTGACTAGGTTAAACCACACAATACTATAGGCACAATTTTGGAGAGAAAGGTTGAACACAATAACTTCTCCCCTGACAGAATGACATCCCGATTGATGACGACCCAACATCCAATGTCTGTACAAGTGCCATTTTCTCTTAAAGGGAGAGAACTCCTGTCTTCCACCGGTGGATTAGGGAGGCAGCAAAGTGTGTAACCGAAAGCGTTCACGAATGTAAGGTCTTACATCTTCATTCTGAAACATCAAGGAACAAACATCAAGGAACAACATCAAGGAAACAGCACACATCATGTTAAAGTAGTTAACCTCGGCCAAAATATTAACGTAGAGTAAACAATACAAAAAACATATTCAATCAAAGAAAATAATTTTTTGATAATTTGAATTGAATATATTTTTTATATACATATGTTGGCAAAAAAAACCATTTGTTCACATTTATTATTTTTTTAATAGTTGATGCTTTAACACAGTTCATACACACAAGTCAACTAGTCCAAAAAACAAAATGTGGTGAAAATGAGCTTAATTTAGAAAATTATATAAATATAATCAATCCAAAAAAAGTATTTAAAAAATATGCACATACATATGAAAAACTTTCAATTTCTTATTTATATTATTTTTTACAGTTGATACTTTAATACGGTCCATACAAACTAAAAGTCTTTCGAAGGCAATGATCACATATAAGGATAAAACATATGTTCAAAAAGATTCACGCTCACATCCATACCATATTTCACCTCACCCTCTATATCGGTCAGAATGGCTCGATTTGTATGTTCAAAGGTACAACAAGGCCAAAAAATGATAGTCTTGGTTCTTAGGCATGGTCCGTATCATCATAAAGTCTGCCGCTGGTTGTATTTTTATTTCAATTTTCAAAAAGAATGAAAAAATCCCAATACTTCCCTTTACATGCGCACTGCTTTACTGTGAATCTCATGTTATGGTCGCAGTGGCAATAGGAGTTTGTATGCTTGTTTCCGTAGGGAGGCCCTTTCCTGTTTGTTTGTTTGTTGTTTAATGCCGCACTCAGCAATATTCCAGCTATATGACGGCGGTCTGTCAATAATCAAGTCAGGACCAGACAATCCAGTGACATGCATCAACCAAGTCAGCAAGCCTGACCACCCGGTCGCCTTGTACGGCAAGCATGGGTTGCTGAAGACCTATTCTACCCCGGATCTTCACGGGTCTGATGGTATTCAACTGTTTATTTTGTTACATACTGGTTTGAACAACCAATTACTGATGAATCGGGACATCAGATACAACCGATTTGGTTGCTGTAGCAACACAACGTAACGCTGACAACCAAAATAATTCTTCTACACTTACAAGGGCCACTAAACTCTCAAGAAAAGGGATCAGTTTTAGAAGCTCGTCATCTCGCTGGTCGACAAACCAGCTTTCAATGGGGATACCGTTGTCCAACTGAAAATGAGAAGAGAGTGATCATTCAAAATACAGAACTGTGTACCAAACAACCAAAACATATACCGTATTTATCGTAATAAGCGCCCCGCTCTAATAAGTGCCCACGGCGATATTTGCTAATATATTGGCTTGTGAACAATCCCAATTAGCACCCCTTCCGATTGATCAATGTACACAAGACTTATTTTTTTGCGTATAATACGCACTCATGTGTTACATGTACACTTAATTATGGGCAATTAAATTCTGAAAAAATATATCTGTCGTACATAAACATTTCAGGCTGTCAGCATAAACCCCAAAATTTATCTTTCAACTCTGTTGTTTTTCACCAAAACAATATTCTAATAAAGCCCCCTGTTCCTAATTTTGAGAGCGCTCTGGGCGCTTATTACGTCGAATACGGTAGGTGTTACTGTATGTTGATATATGATGGTGGCATGTACGCTTTGGTTGGTTTGTTGTTTAATGCCGCACTCAGCAATATTCCAGCTATAGGATGGCGGTCTGTAAATAATCGAGTCTGAACCAGACAATCCAGTGATTGATATCATGAGCATCGATCCTCGCAATGTTGGATCGATGACATGCATCAACAAAGTCAGCGAGCCTGACCACCCATTAGTTGCCTTTTACGACAAGCATAGTCGCCTTTTAAGGCAAGCATGGGTTGCTGAAGATCTATTCTACCCCGGATCTTCACAGGTCTGTGGCCTGTAAGCAAGAACAAGTCTCTAACGTCGCAGAAATCAGGATTCCAGCTATATCATGCAATCAGCTTTGAGGCCGTCATATTTGACCTCTGTAGTTCTAAAACAAGCCTATACAGGCAGTTCTTAATGGAAATAATAAAAGCTACAAAATATACTGCTCAACTTTTGATGGGGATGGGGAGTGGGGACTTGGATATGTTGTCATACAAATAGCATTCAAATTTGCCATGGCACTTTACCATGTGCAGCTTGATTTCGAGTTGATTAAACACAAATACTCAGTTCATTAAATTGTAACAGGACGAGTGAGTTTGGTTTCACACCGCTTTTAGCAATATTCCAGCAATATCACGGCTGGGGGAACAAGAAATGGGCTTCACACACTGTACCCATGTCAGAAATCAAACCTGGGTCTTCGGCGTGACGAGCAAACGCTTTAACCACTAGGCTACCCGACCGCCCCTTGTAACAGTATGAAATATCTCAGACGCGGATACTTTTTCCTTTTGAAACTTTGCCGAATAAGGGTGGAAAAGAATTAAAACCAAACTATCAAAGAAGGTTGATCTAGAAATGATATGGGCTGTCAAGGTTCTGTCAGGGTTTGGCTAACATAGTGGGTTTGCCAGGCCTTGCAATAGAGAGGCATCGTATGGTCGTATGGGGTAATAGATCAGATGATAAAGAGATTGTATGGATCTCAAGTGATGTGCTCTAAGCACGCTATTGTGGTGCTTACCTGGTACCCAAAGGCTTGTGGGGAGTTGTCAATAATGATCGTCTTGGACAAGTCTCGTCCAAGGATCGTCAGGTCTTTGATGTAGTAGCCATTGATACACACACAGTGTTCTCGGAACAACCGATGTCTGTGATACAAAACAAAAGTAAGTAATATTAGATTGGATTTTTCAATAACAGGCTGAACTTGTGCATGTTTTATATGGTTAAATCGAGCCCTGTTGAATCTATGCTGAAATCACATAACTTTCAAGCTTATGAGAGAGGAATTGTATGCTGAGTGAGTGGAGTAGCAACAGAACTGTAAGGATTACCTCCCCTTAATTGAATCCCTCCCTCCCTCCCCCAGCGTTAGGAATTGGCACTAGTCCTGTAGTCCTTACCAAACTGCCCAATAGTAAAGGTATCCTAAGGACTAGTAGAAATTGGCCCATTTTAAGGGTTTTGCTATATGTTATCATTATAAGGACTAGTGGATAAAAACTGTTAGTTTCTAACCCTGCCACACACCCCACACCCCACCCCCCTCTCCACCCCACCCCCCGCATTAACCAGTCACAACCAACTGAACCTAACAACCCATGGTCTGTAAAATAATCGAGTCTGGACCAGACAATCCAGAGATCATGAGTATCGATCAACACAATCGGGATAGGATGACATGCCAAGACAACGAGCCTGACAACTTGATCCTGTAAGTCACCTCTTACGGCAAGCATGGGTTGCTGAAGATCTATTCTACCCCGGATCTTCACGGATACAGCAGACACTTACCTGATAAGCTTTTTATCAGGGTCGAGTAGATTCATGAGTTTATCGGCATACACCTTCTTCGAAGCAGTGAACAGAATGACTTCAAACAGGTGTGACACTCGCTCAAGGAACTCACGGAAAAACGGTCGGGTTCTCACATACACCTGGAAAAACAAATCAGTCTCATTCACACAAAATAAGAATGAAGCGTATTGGTAAAGGTCAATCTTTTCTGAACCCTTCTGAGTCAAGTAAACCTGTCAATCTCAATAATTTTCAGGAGACTTAAGGGTGAATGTCAAGGGCATATATATACCTGATCTGTGACATCATAAACCCTGGAACCTCAGGCCAAACCAAAGGAAGATTTACGATTCTGACTCTGCAGGGATTTGTCTGGGATTCCAAACTAATTCCTTTGGCAGGCAAATTGTGAAACCAATTTTATTACTTGCCCGTGAAGAGATCACCCGTTTAATAAACATACAGCTGTATTACACATTGTGTTATAACAAAACACGTGCACATGTACTCTCGGAACACGTTTCACGAACAAATATTGAAAGCTCTCAACATCGCTTGGCTTATTCAACCACATTGCGTGTGGAGTTGATAGATCACTGAGAGGAGCTTATGCACACTCGATGACCCCAGCAACCTTGTCATTGTTTCGCCGATGGATCTTGCAACAAAATTCCACAAGGCGATCGTATTGTAGCGCAACGACAGTCATTAGTCTTAGTTAAAGTATGTAAGTTGCGATAGTCTTAGATTTACGATAATTTTGTGAATTCTAAAGGTGGACCGTTGTAAGGTATTAAATTCATACGTTTCAACTTTTGACGCGTTTGAAGTATTATTCTGTTAAACTCAATTGGACTATGCCGTGGATCGTTAGGTGTCAGCCTATTCATACTCAACAGTATAATTCAAAAACGTCATATATGGCAAGTAATAAATAAAATACTAAACTCGCTACGTGTAAAACCAATTTTATGAAACTCGTGAATAGTTGTGGTATCTGACTCGCTTTCACTCATCAGATACCACATAATCACTCGTTTCATAAAATTGGTATTACAAGGGAGCTCGTTTAGCATTCTATATGTGACATTGTTCATGGCGGTATCACGAGATATTTACCTGATATGTGATATCCTGAAACAACACTGGGAAGGAGAAGGCTGCGTCCTCCAGCTCCGTCAGACTACAGTGAACCAAAGTCTCGTCCTGAAACAGCAATGAGGGCACATGGTTTAATGCCGTTTTCAGCAGCAACCAGCAAAATCATAGCAGGGGCAACAGACACGGGCCAAACTGTCCCAATGTGGGTAATAAAACCTGGACCTTAGGCGTAACGAGAAACACTTAAACCACTAGGCTATCCCTCCAACCCCTTGAAACACTGAACTAACAGGCAGATTTCATTTCAGTTCTCAGGCAAGGTTGCTTGGTTTGTTGTTTAACGCCGCACTCAGCAATATTCCAGCTATATGACGGCGGTCTGTCAATAATCGAATCTGGACAAGACAATCCAGTGATTAATATCATGAGCATCGATCCACGCAATTGGGATCGATGACATGCATCAACCAAGTCAGCGAGCCTGACCACCCGATCCCGTTAATCGCCTTTTACGACAAGCATAGTCACCTTTTACGGCAAGCATGGGTTGCTGAAGATCTATTCTACCCCGGATCTTCACGGGTCTCTCAGGCAAGGAAGGACAAAGGGGCTGAATTTAGAGATTGTCAGTATCTAATACAAGCTTATTTTCAGAAGATAGATAAGGTCCTTAAGTTAGAAAATCTGCCATTTTCACTCATTTTAGACATATTTATGAATATGATTATGTCAGAAGTCCAAAACTTGAAAATATGAGGAGAAAAGCGAGTTAACAGCCTTTTTATTATGTCTGATAAATTTCATACCAATATTGCCAAGTTACCTTTAAAATTAGGCATAAAAAAGGCCCTCGTCCTACTTCAACTTTAGGTGTTAAAACAAGTGGATCCTGTCATGGTCAACGGCTGCAAGTTATTTTTGCTCCACTAAAGTGAGTGAGTGAGTTGGGTTTAACGCCGCTTTTAACAATATCCCAGTTATATCGCGGCTTGTCAGCTTTATGTGGAGGAAAGTCCGAAGTGATGCAGGTCTCAGACATTTACCACTTCGGTGAAACCCACGAACACGGGTATGGTGCTGACAAACCTTGAAACATAATCGGGGCGAACCGGGATTCGAACCCACAATCATAGGTTTCTGGCGTGCCCAAGGGATGCAACACTGCACAGCGAATCGCGGCGCCTTAGACGACTGGGCCACCCATACCCCCGCTCCACTAAAGACTATGCTTGAAGCAATGTTGTAGTGTTACCACCTACCAGATCTAGCACTAAAGAAAACTCAGGTGAGCTTCTGGTCTTGAGGGGCAAGGCTGGGGATCGCACCCGCATCTCGTCAGTCAGGGGGGGCAAGCTGCGGATGATCATGTAGCTGCAACACAGGGAAACGGGAACATCCAGAGTTGTCATCAATCACAGCATCTTCCCCAGGCAAGAGAGTTAACTGACTTTAAAAGTCCAGTTTCCATCCTTATCAAACAAGGCAGGGGTGGAAACTGGACTTTTATAGTCTTGGTTAACTCTCTTGCCTCAGGAAGATGAAATCACAGTTGACAAATTTCTTTCTTCCAAGTCAAAAAATTATTTTCATTTCTTAATTACCGTATTCAACGTAATAAGCGCCCCGCTCTTATAAGCGCCCACGGCGATATTTGCTAATATATTGGCTAATGAACAATCCCAATTAGCACCCCTTCCGATTGATCATTGTTCACAAGACTTATTTATTTGTGTATAATACGTGTGTTATATGCATCCTTAATTATGGGAAATTAAATTCTGGAAAAATATGTCTGTTGTATATAAACATTTCAGGCTGTCAGCATAAACCATGAAATTAACGATCTTTCAGCCCTGTTGTTTTTCACCAAAATTATATTCTAATAAGAGCCCCCTTTTTCTAATTTTGAGCGCGCCCTTGGCGCTTATTATGTCGAATACGGTACATATGTTCAGAGCTCCAGATAATTGGGTTTCAGTCATTCTATCTGGGTATTCAAATTGTTACAAATTTCTTCGCATCACGATATGGACTGGCGATACTACTGGTATGACGCTACACATCAAATGGTAAGAAAATCACTGAAATGGAGATCTAAAACCTCTTTTTTTATACATTTATTTACTGTTATCTGAAAAACTCTTACAAAAAAAACACAAGAACAAAACAGTTTTAAATGAAGGGAATGTTATTAAATGTAACAGATAGTCGGCGAAGGTTATTAAATGTAACAGATAGTCGGCGTGTCCTCAGCTACCACGTCCTGGTGTTCTACGATGCTTATGACAGCAGCCTGTAAATAATCGAGTCTGGACCAGACAATAAGTGATCGACATCATGAGCATCGATCCACACAATTGGGATACAATGACATGCACCAACCACGTAAGCTAGCCTGACGGCTTTTTATGGCAAGCATGTGTTGCTGAAGACCAATTCTACCCCGGATCTTCACGGCTTCATCAAAATAAAGACGATGCAAACCTACGCACTCTGGTTTTACGTATATATAATTCCATAAAAGCAGGCCTCAAAGTTTACATTTTTACCAAGTAGCCATATGTCTACAAATATTTTTCCAGGTAGCCAGTGGTAAAATTAAGAGGTCAAGCCATTATTGTATGCAACCAAAATCATTTGAAATTATCTTTAATCAAATAACTATTATATTAATAATTTATGTACCAGTCATAGCACTATTAGTGGAAACTGTACTTGATTTTTGTTATTTGTGACTCGAACAATGATGCAAATTATGTTACTAGATTATATAGGCATGTATTAATTACATTAATATTTATGTATTTTGGTTCATTGTTGACTTTAGGAGGAATTATTTGTGAGTCCAGATATTAGCAGACGTGTTTTCCAACATCAGCTTTTATGTATTTTTGTGTCTTCAAAGGTGTAGCAATAGAATTTAGTCGCCACAAGATATTTTCAATGTAGTCATTTGGCTACGTCTGAATTTTAGACAGTAGACAACTTGAACATTAAGTTGCATCGGCGACCGTTTTAGTAGCAACTTTGAGGCCTGAAAAGGAACAATTATTGAGTGAGTGAGGATGGTGTTACGCCGCTTTTAGCAATATTCCAGCGAACGCTTTAACCACTAGGCTACCCGACCGCCCCAACAAATATTGAAGTCAAATCTAAAAAAACAAAAAAAAAACATTCTGATAGAGATGGACCCCACAGCTGACATCCATTGGTGAACTAGTCCTATACTATGGAGGAACAAACTCACGGATCGTAAGGTTCTTGTTCCCACTCGTAGTTCTCCTCAGTCTGGTTCTCCTCGGGGTTGGGGGCGGGGACGGGGGCGGGGGCGGCAGTGTAGGTGTTGCACTCAGGGGGGACAGCGGGGTTGTAGGTGACGAGGCTGCCGTTGTTGTTCTCCTCCATCACCTTCTCGGCGGTGTACGCCTCCTTACACTCCACGCCGTTGTCCATGTCCGGGTCCTCGTTCTCCTTACCTGCACAACACATCAGTCAGTTTATCATATAATGGGTAGGTTTCTCGGCAGGTGAGTGAGTGAGTGAGTATGGTTGTACGCCGCTTTTAGCAATATTCCAGCAATATCACGGCGGGGGACACCAAAAATGGGCTTCACACATTGTACCCATGTCGGGATTGGAACCCGGGTCTTTGGCGTGACGAGCGAACGCTTTAACCACTAGGCTACCCGACCCTTTTCTCGGCAGGATGAAGCCAACGGATAAAAACGATATCCGTTGGGGTCATATGCGGATAGAGATGCAAATATCGAAGGTCACGTAGGACTTCTTTCACTGTTTATAAACAAACATGGCGTCGCCCTCGTCATTCGGCGATCGAGTCAGAATTAACCATCGGGAACCTGGATAAACTTCAGGGATAATTGCTATCATTATCAATACTGTCTAATATACAGAAAATCAGTGTCTAACTGTGACGTAGCTAAGGCATTTAATAAATTTTGGCAACTTTGGAGATATAAATTTCGAAACAATTTTGCGAGGGCACGAGGCCTAGCCAAGTGGGATCAGTAGCCATAGCTGTGCTTGTAGACCTCTGCGGCTTGAAACCTTCTCCACAAATTAAAATAGTCGCCAAGGCTTGCTAAATACAATGTTTATTCCTAATGCAGGATATTTACCATCCCCAAATACCTATATATCTCACACTGAGCACCAACTTTCATCACTCGCTGTGTTTCACACTGTTTGATGGCTTGTTTAAAGCCGCACTCAGCAATATTCCAGCCATATGACGGCGTCCTATTCATAACCAAGTCTGGACAAATCTAGTGATTGATAACATGAGCATCGATCCACATCAGGACATGACATGCATCAACCAAATCACTAAACCACCTGATCCCGTTAGTCACCTCTCATGACAAGCATATTCGCCTCTTCAAACAAACACGGGTTGCTGACGACCTCTTCTAAATCAGGATCTTCACGGGTCTCATTGACACTGACCAAAAGTTGGCAGTAGTCCAAAGGACAAACATCTAGCAATATCTTCTGCTCCTGTGAGATCTCTACAAGACAACGGTTCTGACTAAGAAGGATGGTTTCCCAGATCATGTGGGTAACACATCCACCGGCCATAAAGACAATACCTCAGACGCACTAGTTCCCTGCCGTGTCAGTGTCCAACCCAGAATTGAAAATCAAGGGGGGACTTGTCCCCCCATTATGTAGAAAATAGGGGGGATTTTGAAAAAGTAGGGGGGATAACTGCTTTCTTCAAAAATGACCTTTTTGGAACATCATCATATAACAGTGTAACAGATCAGAATAAAGAACTGCTTTTTTTTAGTCACTAGGACCGGGATCGATTTCCCCTTCAGTTTGAGAAGTAATTACACTGACTCTGGTTTCATCATTGTCTTTTTTAGAACATCGATTAAAAAAGTCATTTTGCGCGACATTTTCACTATTCAAAAGATCGTCTGCAATGACAGTCGGCGATTCATATTGTGTGATTTCAGAAACGAAACTAAAATGCTCAAAAATATTTTCAGAACTATTCAAGATAGAATATTTATTGTCTTTAAACATCTTGTCAAAGGTTTTTGATAACTAACCAACAAAATACAACATAATTTTGATCAAAGTTTTGATACGCTTTCTACTAAAGTAAATTAAATTTCGTTTCCTACGCCAATCCTGTTGATAATTTATTCAGCAACCCAAGGGACGTCACCCGTGTTCAAAATTCCGGTTATTATCGATCGGTCTTCGACAGTTGTTTACAATGTTTGCTGTGAACTGTCTTTCTTCGTTAATTGATTAAAGATTTAGTGAGTATTGAATCTAAAGGTAGGGATAAACAGCTGATAAAGTAAGTGACTGTACAAGAAATTACTGTGCGTGACAGATCACGCTTTGAGTTTTTTATGAGGGGCGATTTGATTTTATTAGCGTGAATCACGCAGTCTGGGTTGGACACTACGTGATATTTTATCATGGTCATACAAGTGAGCGTGTGAAATTAGAATATGAAACCAAGTCAGGGTAACCACTGTACCACAGTGGGTTGTTTAGGGTGCTGGTGCTGCTTAGAGTTCAGAGTCAAACTATTGCTGATCTCAAAAGTCATACTAACTTAAATTACTTTGTTGGTTCCAAAATAACACTGGACCACCAGACCACTATCAATATAATTTTACTGGTCCTTGCTCGATTCGGGCTAAGGGACCAGTGTAATTGTCAAACACCTGGTTTGTTTGTTTGATATTTCATGCCACAGTCAGCAATCGTCACAAATTGCTTTTGTGATTGCTTTTGAATGTTCTGCTGTATCCAAGCAATAATCAGTGTGTGCTCAAAACTTCTACTAGTGTTTACTGGCTCTCAAGGATGAGGACAATACTTACTAGATGCAGCACTGTCTGACTCGGCTTCCGTCGATGTCAGGTCAAGGATGAGGGACCTAGCAATCTCCTCCAGCTCCTGCTTGGGTGACGTCAGGTCTGTCTCTGTCAACATCAACATCAACATCAACATCACAAGAACTCTTCATCAGCTCCAAAACAATAAGACATCATCATTACAGTATTATAAATTAGGTGAGGTGAGGTGAAATGGGGTTGAACGCCGCGTCCAAGATTATTGCACTTATATAGCGACGTGCATGTACGTGTGTGTATGTGACTGCTTGTACTAGTCCGGACTGATGCCGATTTATAGTGCTAGCTCACTGAGATACCATGCCGCAGTTTAACATGAATACCCCACTCAGACACAGTATACTGACTCCGAGCCGACCAGTCCTTGTTTTAGCCCCTTAATGCCGAGCGCCAGACAGGGTAACAACAAGTGAGTGAGTGAGTTGGGGTTAACGCCGCTTTTAACAGTATTCCAGTTATATCGCAGCATGTCAGCTTAATGTGGGATGAAAGCCTGAAGTGATGCAGGTCTCAGATGTTTACCAAATCGGTGAAACACAGGAGCACGGGTATGGTGCTGACAAACCTAGAAACATAATCGGGGCGAACGGGGATTCCAACCCACAATCATAGGTTTCTGGCGCGCCCAAGGGATGCAACTCTGCACAGCGAATCGCGGCGCCTTAGACGACTGGGCCATGCGTGCCCCCTAACAGTGTTTATAAGTGATACTGACCATCCTGGGTGTAGTTGGGGTACAGAGGGGAGAAGATTGTTCCGAGGAGCGTTGTTCGGGGAGGACTGCCTGGTTCTGGTTTGGCCTTGATGTGTGTCTTGTCCTGGTCTCGAACAACGGCTGTGAACAACACCGACAAACAGAGTCACAACAGATTCAATCAGTGTTTCAAATAAAGACCCAACAAGTATTTGTCACAGAAGTGACGAAATGTCCCCCGCCTGTATATACACCATAGTACCAAATATGAAGACAATCCAGAGATTAGTTCTTGAGATATCGCGGCAACACCGTTTTCCAACTCCAAAAGCAGATTTACCTGCTGTGACCTTGAAAATGCGGTCAAGGTCACCAAAACCGACTGGTGTCTGCGGAGTCTGTATATACACCATAGTTCCAAATATGAAAACAATCCAGTGTTTAGTTCTTGAGATATCGCGGCAACAAAGAGGTGGGACGTACGGACGGACGGACGGACGTACAGACGTACGGACGTACGTACGGACGGTCGTGAATACTATATCCCCCGCTTCGCGCGGCGGGGGACAACAAGACAGTCAGGCAGGTGGCCCATAAGTGCTGTTGTGCATCTTCGAAGCTCCCTGCCTACATTCAGACACCATAAACATTGAAAATCGCCAAAAATGAGAGACAAATTGTGTCATAAGTCTTGATTCAAGTTGAAAAAATAATTACCTGAGAATCTACAGTTAAAATATAACTGAATACGTAAGAAGTCATAAAATTATTTGCCCCACAGTCGAGCAGGTGTTGGAAAATTTCATGCAGCCCGACAGAAAAGTTACCAGTCACGGGCAGGCGGGCAGGCAGTAATTTCAGACGCTGGATCCAATGTCCATAACTGGATCAGAGATCCAAGCCACAGCTTAGAGATACCTGGGATAATTTGATTCAAAACCTACGACCATATATAGCTTTGCATCTTTAACCTTACTATGACATCAAAAGCTAAAACAAGTGATTTATCACCAAAAACCAAGAGATATCCCTGCAATGAAATGACGTCACTAATCCCTCTGCCATTGAAGTTTATTAGCAGCGTTCGAAATTGGCACTAGTCCTGTAGTCCTTACCAAACTGCCCAATAGTAAAGGTATCATAAGGACTAGTAGAAATTGGCCCATTTTAAGGGTTTTGCTATATGTTATCATTATAAGGACTAGTGGACAAAAACTGTTAGTTTCTAACCCTGATTAGCTTTTCACTTTACACTCAAGACACTTGATATTAATTACTGTTTACAAACTGAAAAAGTTGAAGAATTGGGATAAGCAGAATCTCATTCTCGTGTCATGATATCAGACATATCAACACCTGTTGATAAAAGCTTAAAGCTCCTCGGCAAGCCTACGTTATTATTGATATGTTTGATACGAATAGGCACTTGGCTCAGATTCTCCATGTTTATCTGACAATGTCTACAGTGAGGACAAAAGCTAGTCTTTTGTTTCATACAAACTTTATGACAGATTTCACATGATAGGTTTGGTGGAATTTGATCAAATGATTTCAAGGTACTTTCATTTCCAAGACCTTTTTATACCATAATCTAAATTCAAAGACTTTCCAAGATCTCAAAATTCAAGGCTTTTCTGTCTACTTTGTGTCAATACTCTGCAACAGTGTTTGAAATACCGTATTCGAGGTAATAAGCGCCCCGCTCTAATAAGCGCCCACGGCGATATTTGCTAATATATTGGCAAGTGAACAATCCCAATTAGCACTCCTTCCGATTGATCAATGTACCCAAGGCCTATTTATGCGTGTATAATACATACCCGTGTGTTATATGTACTCTTAATTATGGGCAATTAAATATATCTGGCGTATATAAACAGTCAGGCCGTCAGCATAAACCACAAAATCTTTCAACTCAACTTTCAAATTTTTCCACCAAAATAATATTCTAATAAGAGCCCCCTATTTCTAATTTTGAGAGCGCCCTGGGCGCTTATTACGTCAAATACGGTAATAATAAATTGCCTCTCTGCCACTGGGCCCCACATACTGTAGTATGAGTGAGTGAGTTTGGTTTAACGCCGCTTTTAACAGTATTCCAGTATGTCAGCTTAATGCGGGAAGAAAGCCCGAAGTGATTCAGGTCTCAGACGTTTACCACTTCGGTGAAACCCACGAGCACGGGTATGGTGCTGACAAACCTAGAAACATAATCAGGGCGAACCGGGATTCGAACCCACAATCATAGGTTTCTGGCGTGCCCAAGGGACGCAACTCTGCACAGCGAATTGCGGCGCCTTAGACTACTTGGCCACCCGTGCCACCCGTGCCAGGTCCTGACACTTATCTCTTCAGGCTCTCAATTAAAAAAAACCCTGCTGCATATTGTGACCAAAAAAAATAAAACAAATTACAGCATTGAAACTACAGGCCCAACACGAAATCTACCTGCCAGGGGCCTAATGGCAGGTGCATATTTCAAACACTGCTGAGTGGGTATGGTTTTATGCCGCTTTTAGCAATAATCAGCAATATAACGGCGGGGAACACAAGAAATGAGCTTCACACATTGTACCCATGTCAGGAATCGAACCCAGGTCTTTGGCATGACGAACGCTTTAACCACTAGGCTACCCGACTGCCCACTGCCCTTGAGCGTTGTTGAGCAATGTCAACACCTACAGTCAGTGATTTTAGGCACTAATCTGAAGCCAGATTAAGATCCGTAATATAAAATACCATCTCACGACACCAAAATGTACCAGAAATGATGCTTAGAGCCAGGTTCAGGCGACAAGACTTGAGTGAACAGGGTTAGAAACTAACAGTTTTTGTCCACTAGTCCTTATAATGATAGCAAAACCCTTAAAATGGGCCAATTTCTACTAGCCCTTAGGATACCTTTACTATTGGGCAGTTTGGTAAGGACTACAGGACTGTTGTTGGTTGGTTTGTTGTTTAACGCCGCACTCAGCAATATTCCAGCTATATGACGGCGGTCTGTAAATAATCGAGTCTGGACCAGACAATCCAGTGATTGATATCATGAGCATCGATATACGCAATTGGGCGAGCCTGACCACCCGATCCCGTTAGTCGCCTTTTACGACAAGCATAGTCTTTAACGGCAATCATGGGTTGCTGAAGACCTATTCTACCCCGGAATCTTCACGGGTCTACAGGACTAGTGCCAATTTCTAACGCTGGTGAAGTTTTTTGCACAGGCTCCACCCACCTTTCTTCCTCAAGCCTGACTTGGTACGGTGTGGGGTCGAGGTGATGAGCGCGTCCACGCCATTCGTGTTTGTTCCACTGATGCCGTTCTCAACCTTCGTCTTCTTCACTGGAGTGTCACGACTTCCCTGGGAAATTTCCAAGACATCAATTGAGAGAACCGACAGATAAGGCCACAATACATTATTAGATGTTCACCCCACCCTCTCCGCTCTCAAACATTGCAGAAAATGGTATGTCACTTTTTTTTTTGTGTCTTCCTTTATCCATTGTTTGGTTAATTTCCAATCTCATTAAAATCAGATCTTAGTTCTCGCTACCACAAAACAAAGATCTGAGGACATCCCATTAGGGGTCACGTCAGAACGACCTTTCATCCGACCAATTAGAGTGTGGCTTACCAGATCATGAAAGTGACAGTTGGAATGTGATTTCGCATCATGCAGCCTCGAAAACTCGGTATTCCCAATGATAGTTATGGGCTTAACGACTGAATCTATATAATCTTGACCATATATTAGCCATTCGAGAATGTTCTTTTGTGCAGGTTTCAAATTTTTAAGCGAGAATTTGTCAAAATGTTTTAAAGCGTAGTCTCCAATTTGAAATTAGTGCCGTAAAGCACGAGAAAGCTGCCTTCTGATTGGCTAATATAAACTTCTTGTCAGTAATTCCATTGGTCGGTCAGAGTTCGCGAAAGGTCGGTCTGACATGACCTGTAATGGGATGTCCTCAGATCTTTGTTTAGCGGCAGCAGGAACTAAGATCTGATTTTAATGAGATTAGTTAATTTCCAGTTTCCAAAACCTTTCCAGACCATGAAATTTTTTAAGTCCCAGAACTTTCAGAAATGAATTATTGTTGGATGGTTGGTTGTTTTTCGCCCCAAGGTGAATCTGGGATTCGAACTCACTGTCATCGGGTCCTGTCATGCCGATGAGACAAAATCTATACAGCAAATAGTGGCCCCAGGCCACAGCAGCCCTCTAAGTTGTTTTTTTATTAGTTGCTTCTAACATGAATAGTTTAGGAGCCAACCTTTTTTTCCCCAAGGTGCCAGACAGAGTCTGAGATAAAACATATGTTTGCATGGGTTTCATCTGTGATAGGACCTATGTTTGCATGGGTTTCATCTGTGATAGGACATATGTTTGCATGGGTTTCATCTGTGATAGGACCTATGTTTGCATGGGTTTCATCTGTGATAGGACCTATGTTTGCAAGGGTTTCATCTGTGATAGGGCATATGTTTGCATGGGTTTCATCTGAGATAGGACATATGTTCACATGCATTCTATTGTGTGAAGAAAAATAATTATTATCCCCCAAATACTGCATCGAATCAGGTTAACCTTATGAGGTACAGTTGGTTGGTTGTTTAACGCCGCACTCAGCAATATTCCAGCTATATGACGCCGCAGTTTAACATGAATACCCCACTCAGACACAGTATACTGACTCCGAGCCGACAAGTCCTTGTTTTAGCCCCTTGATGCCTAGCGCCAGACAGGGTAACAACAAGTACCATCTTTTAACATCTTTCGGTATGACGCGGCTGGGCTCTAGTGCCAACCTTCCGCTCTCTGGGCAGACGCTCTACCATTAGACCACGGAGGCGGTCTGATGATTATTAAATGCCCCATATGAACCCTGCGCACATCGAGCATGGAGATGTTTTCTGTGCCTACCTCTGCTGCACTGTGCTCACACTTCATGTTGCGCTTCCGTGAGATACAGTGTGAAGCCAAGGAGTCGCCTCCCTTCCTGCGGCTTAGCTTCCCACCACTAGGGGGCGTGTGTCCGGTCTTCTGCCGCAGTTGCATGGTTACCAATCACAAACAAATCTGGAAGGCAATAGAACAGGTTAAAATTCACTGACAACAATTTCCAAACAACAGTTTCAAACAACAGTTCTGGATTCACAAACAACATGAGTGAGTGAGTGAGTGAGTGAGTGAGTGAGTTTGATTTTACGCCGCTTTTAGCAGTATCACGGCTGGGGACACCAGAAATGGGCTTCACACATTGTACCCATGTCGGGAATCGAACCCGGGTCTTCGGCGTGACGAGCGAACGCTTTAACCACTAGGCTACCCGACCACCCCTACAAACATGAAATACTGTTACCATGGTTACTTGATCAAACATATATTAGTTTCTGCTATTCTGATACTGGGTACCGAATACTTTGTCAAGTAAAACCCTGTCAAGGAATACCTGCTGGTGTGATTCTGTGTTCGCATGTCGTGTACTAGGAGTCCTTTTACGACACATAAGACAACAGAGCTCCAGATAACTTTATGAGCAATTGAGTTTTTACTCTAGGGTTTCTATTTTAACTGGGTTATTACATTTTTCACTGGGTAACCACTATTTTTTCACTCATCTATTTATCACTCAATTGGGTTTTTCCTAAAATTAGTGAACATTTTAAGATTTAAAAAAAAAGAAATAGTGTTTTAGATGTATATAAATGTTCTAAATATATAGGCATGACTCGGAAAGTAAATAAGCTCGTAATTTTGTTTCGGAATTTAGCTCCTTTGTACACATGCTGAAAAAGTTTGTTGGGTATTTACGTGTGCTGTTTTTATACATTTGAGTTTTTCATAAAATGCATGTATTTCTGTACGCAAGTTAATTGAAAGTAATTGGGTTTTGAATAATTTTTTTTGGGGGGGGGGGTGGTGGTATTTCGCGCAAATATACGCTGCTTATGATATCTGTAGCTCTGAGACAGCCTATCGCCAAAATTAGGCGATGGAGCTGAGAATCGTAGACTAAAAGTCAACTTGTCAAATACACCGCATAATATAGCAAATAAAAGGTGAATTATTAATTCAAAGTTTAGGACAGGTTTATTGGGACTTTCAGTAAAAATCCCAGCAAAGCCACAGCGATCTGCAAATGTCAACTACTAATAAAGCAATTTGAGAAATACACTGCAGAATTTTAACATGCATCAGTGTGAAATAGCCACTGCCCGCGGCTAGTGAAATTTCAAACAGGCTGATTCTGAAATGTCCCCAGCCCTTAGCTACAGAAATTGTTACAGTGATTTTTTCATGCTGACTTCTAAGTTGAACAAATTAAAAAAAGTTAATTCATTTTGTAGATAAATACAACCATCAAAAATCAAACAATATTCTATCGAATTGAGGTTGCGAGATTCGTGTCACCTCCTTTCATTGTGTTTGTGTGACTGAAACACTGTATAACAAGCTGTGTTACTTAACAAATTATGACTACTAGTGTCAAACATTGCAGCAAGAGAGAATGTTTTGACTTCAATTACGACATTTTAACTCTGACCAAGAGTCTGTGACACGTCCAAAATATCTCTGTCACGGAAAAATAAACTAAATTTGAAACTTGCTGGTAACTTTTAAGTCCAGCATGATTTTGAGGCTATTTTACACAAAGTTTTGCATTTGTGGAACTAGCTGAATGCATATTGAGTCTTCAAATTTATGACAAAAATGTTTCAGCAATTAGAGCAGTTTCTTCACAAGTCAGACACTGCTTCACTTCTCAAGCCTCACTACTGAAAGAATGACTAGCCACGGAACTCAAATTCAACAAATGGTTTGGAAGCAATCTTTTTGGATCCTCTTCAGTTTCAACATGACATGTCCTTCAACTACAATTCAAGCACTTCATGAAGACTGTCAAAGCACCGCCCTGACACGTCAAGCACATCAGCTGCCAATCCAAGAGCTGAACACATTTCACAGAAGCCTTGTCTTAATCAACCACTTCTTAGAATCCATTTGAAACCTGTTTTAACAGCTTATCATGTGTGAGTGAGTGAGTTTGGCGTGACACCACTTTAAACAGTATTTCAGTTATATCATGGCGTGTCAGATTGAGGTGAGGTGAAATTGGGTTTAACGTCGCATCCAAGCGACATGCATGTACGTGTGTGTGTTTGTGTGGCTGCTTGAACTAGTCCGGACTGATGCCGATTTATAGAGCTAGCCCACTGAGATACCATGCCGCAGTTTAACATGAATACCCCGCTTAGACACAGGATACTGACTCCGAGCCGACCAGTTCTTGTTTTAGCCCCTTAATGCCGAGCGCCAAACAGGGTAACAACAAGTACCATCTTTTAACATCTTTTGGTATGACGCGGCCGGGGGTCGAACCCCAGACCTTCCGCTTTCCGGTCGGATGCACTACTTCTACGCCACGGAGGCGGTCCCGTGTCAGATTGATGTGGGAGGAAAGCTCAAAGTGATGCAGGCAGCCTTAGGATTAGTCCTGAGGACTAGAGTCAGTCTTATTTCACAAGTACTCCGAGTTAGTAGCTAGTTATGCTTGAACAAGTCACGATATGGCTGAAATACTGCCGATGTGGCGTTAAATATTAACCCACTCACTCTGCTTGAACAAACAAAAATCACTACTATGTTTACATTTTCTGTCACTATTATTCAGTTCCAATTTGAAGCAAAGTTCAGCACTGAGAAATGGTTCGGAGTTATATCCCTCAAATGCTACTATATCCCTCAAATGCTACTAGTCAAAGAGGACTACCATCATTGGGTTTTCAGTTCTCCTCAGCACAGTTTCATAGTCAGGGGCTGGCGGATAAGAGTGAATTTTGAAGGCTGTGCAGTCTCAGAGTGAGTGAGTGAGTGAGTGAGTGAGTGAGTTGGGTTTAACGCCGCTTTGAACAGTATTCCAGTTATATCACGGCGTGTCAGCTTAATGTGGGAGGAAAGCCTGAAGTGATGCAGGTCTCAGACGTTTACCACTTCGGTGAAACCCACGAGCACGGGTATGGTGCTGACAAACCTAGAAACATATTCGGGGTGAACCGGGATTCGAACCCACAATCATAGGTTTCTGGCGTGCCCAAGGGACGCAACTCTGCACGGCGAATCGCGGCGCCTAAGATGACTGGGCCACCCGTGCCCCCTGTGCAGTCTCAGACGTTTACCACTTGGTGTAACCCACGAACACGGGGACACATCATTGCGAACCGGCACTCGAACCCACGATCGTAGGTTTCTGAGACAGGACACAAACCTGAGCAGTCAATTGTGATGCCTTCTACACCCTGACCACCCGTCCACTATTTGTAATCATACCAATACCTTTATTTGAAAGATATTGTGTCTGACTTGCTGATACATTTATTTTTCAGAACAAGGCAAAATCAGAAGATTTGAGAATTAACAGCAGAATTAGGCAGAAATGTTGCCTCTTTATGACTTATAGATAAAACTGACACCAAATCGCTATCAGTCTCAATTATTTTTAAATTAAGTACGAGAGTCAAGGGGCCCAAATACTAAAATATTAAGGTGTCCTTAGATCCAAATAACATAGACGACTTCATGGATTACAGAACTCATTAACTTCGAACACTGAAAATGTGTAGAGTTTCTTTCATACTACCTGAACGATTCAAAACTTGAGTGAAATAGCTGACCGGGGTCAGGCGAACAGACACGACCACTTGTGTCCATGACAAAAGAAAATCTTCAGGGACAAGTTGATATTTCCTAAAATCTGTCTACTTTAGACGAACTACGAGTCAGAAATGAACAGCGGACAAGTTGGATTTGACCATTGGAGTCCAACAGGAATGGACTCTGCCCTGCTGTGAGAGTTCCTTCACCTGGGGTCTTATCTTTCCTGACTCAAAGGTGTGCATGAGACAAGCATATGCACAGGATTGTCTTACTGACCAGTCTGGTCAATGACCTTTGACCTCAGGGACATAAGACCAGTTACTGGGTGTCCAATCCTGACATGACCTGATTAGCATTAGAAATTCGAGAGGGTCCTTGTGGTTTGCTGTCAAAATATTTAAATCAAGGCACCCCCTAAATATAACACTGGCATCACTAAAGGACCCCAAGATTTCACGCTGGCGTTCCTGTGGTCTGCAACTGTAGCTTTTGAACCTTAAGATCGCTGAACCATACATTTTTGGAAACACCCGCTTCAAATTGCGGCGTAAAACAACAAACCAACCAACCAACTGTTTATGCATATGAAAGTTATGTTTATCACATCCTTTAATCATGCTTAATCATGTTAATAAGTAATTACTAAGATAAACTGCAGTCCGTAAGAGCCGGCTGAAATTTAAAACTATCAGCCCAAGTATAAATCTGTCGGCCTCAGGTCTATTGGTCAAAGACTTTTGAACACAGCTTCTGCCCAAGGCTAACTATTAAAAAAAAAAATTAAGGTGGGAGTTTTATCACATTTATTACATTAGGGTCACGACAAGGAAGAAGTTTACTCATAGTATAATATCATCATAAAAACTGATCAACAATATTAATTTATCATGTTTTGCTCCAAGAGATCTTTTCCTGCAGCCCCCTTCCATGACAGTATATTTAGCAGAAATGCACACTCAGTTGCGAAATATACCTATCTTGCAGGAACTCACATTTTGTGCAGAACTCCAGCAGAATTTTGCATTTATATCTCTATTATGCCGCAGAATTCATCAAACACACTGCAGAATTAAGTGTCAAAGTTTCCAAAATTGGGCAGAATTACCAAAACTTGGTTGCATAATTTACAAAAGTTGACCGCAGAATTTTTATTTTTATCGTCATGGAATACAGCGGGACAGATGATGAGACGTCCTATTAGACGTTCTTAATGTGTTGCCAACAGAGCCTGACAACTCCATAATGAAATGTCTTCAGAAAATATATGATCAGGCTGCCTGTTAACCTTGTTTTCAGTGTCGAGCAGTGACAATCTTCAATGATCCAGAAGGATGTGGCCCAGTCGTCCAAGGCACCACGATTCGCTGTGCAGAGTTGCATCCCTTGGGCATGCCAGAAACCTATGATGGTTGGTTCGAATC